ATGCAGGCTGTCTCCGCCCTGGAGGCAGGCACTGTTGGTCAGAAAGACAAGCAATGTCAGCACTAGGGTTCACAGCTTGGTCAGAAGGCAGAATGAGACCTTTAGTAAAATGAAGACCTGAGACTTCCAGATTCCAGGTTTCTGGGTTCCCATTTTAACTGAGAACAGCCTTAGGCAATTATGTAAACGATTCTCAGAAAGATATTGCTTGCTTGTGAATATTTGTAAGAGAACTGTGTGAGGGTAATGCCTTTTTCTGTCTACCTGGATCAGAATGATGTGTGGTTGCTGGTTACAAAGCAAACTCCTGTTCTTCAGAATGGAAGATACAAGTCAGATTCTCTGGGAGAGCGGCCGGGTGCTATGGTTTCGACCAAGAATAATCTCTGGTTATTCTTGGGCACAATCCAATGCTTAAGAATCACTGGTACAAGAAAAAGAACAGATAGCTCAAGTTCATGTTCATGTTCTACAATTTGGGAAGGCATTGTACCTTTTAGTTTCAGTTTGCACACTGTATAATAGGGTTTGAGAAAAGTGTTTCCCTTGCAGTGTGGTTGTGAGTTTGAAACAAAATTAAGTAGGTGATCTCATCTCATAATAATAAAATGCTTTACAGTGTTTAGTCATCCTGATTGCTTCTCATTCTCTTTTTCAGAGTGCTCTTAACTGAACAAAGGTTTTTAAAAATAATTGTTGGGTATGTGTGTCTTTGTATCTTCTGGTCCTAGTTATAACTTTGGAAGATACTGTGAACATAATCAATTTGCATTGAGTGAAATGTGTTTTGGAAATGTAATGATGAAGAATCCCTTGGGTCACTTTGTGAGCTTAATCTAGGGAGAGATATGTAAACAAATAATTTTAATGCAATTTGAAAATAATAATGATAATGGTCATAATAAAATGTTTAAATTAATAATTATTATTATTGTAATTAAAAATTTTGAGTATTATGATATACCTTGAGTGTTTATATCTTCTCATTCAAGCTTCATTATTATTCTATAACTGGCATTATTATTTGCATTTTACAGATAATGAAACTGTGGCCCAAAGAGTTAGAATGACTTGCCCAAGGGTATACAGTCATAAGTAAAAGATCTCAGATTCAACTTAGGTCTATCCAATTCTAAAATTCTAAAGTTCTCCTCTCTCTCTCAGTCTGCAGAGTTGCCAGAAAAATAGTAGATTTTCATCTGTAATCGCATAAAATCTTTAAACTGAGAGGTGCCTTGAAGTATTAACTTTCCAACTCTTAACGGCAATGCACAGTGAGATATTGATCTTACATAATGACTCAAAATGTTCATGTGTGCACACACTCAAATGTATGCAATGCACACATCTGTGTATCAGTTGTGAAACAATACTCATCTTCACTTTTACATTTTCTCTTTCATCTTTTTTGTTAATAATTGTAGTGACCCTGTCCATTTTATTACTTGGCAGCAGGCCTGGTTCATGAAAACCCTACCTTAAAGGATACTGAGACCAATTACCTCTTTTATAGATGTGAAGAAAATTGCTGGAGAGGGAAAGCAATCAGAGAAGTCTCATTGGTGGTAATTGGCCAGAAATATGGCTCACAACTCAGACTACCAAACTGCTCATCTAGATTTTTTTTTCCCGGTAAAGGATTGCTATTCAAAAAGTGGCAGTTCTATTAACCAAAAGAGAATAACTTTGTGGTCTACTCTCATGAATAGTTAAGTGTCATTATCTTGGGAGTGGACTTATTACTATACAAGTGCTACTGTAAAGGCCAGTTCAGCTGTCTCTCGCTCTTGCCCTCTCTTGACCTTCTGCCTGCTACAAAAGCGATGACACAGTAAGAATGCCCTAGCCAGCTGACGGCACCATCTTCTTGTACCCCTCACTCTCCAGAACCTTGAGCCAGTAATTTCTATTTCCTATAAATTGCCCAATCACAAGTATTCTTTTATAACAGCACAAAATGGACTAAATCAGGTGGTATGTGATGAACAAGAATAGGGGGTGGAGAATTGGGACAAGAGTGCACATTGTTGGGGACACAGCACAAGCAAAGGTATGAGGAGATACAGTGAGAGATGGTATGGCGGTTACCCAGGAGGAGATGAACTTGATCCAGCAGATGAACAATTGATTTTAGGAAGCTCAGTGGAATCACACCATCAGAGAACCAGAAGAGACTATGTAAATCAGATAATTCTTTGTCCATTCTGGCAGTCTGCAAGGAAAAGTTGATTAAGGTGTTTACTAATGTATTTACCTAAGCTCAGTGTCAGTTATCTAAATGTTAGAGAGACAAGGTCTGCAACCAAGAGGTTTCATTGACCCAGCTCATCTTATATGAAAGTCCATACCTTCTACATTTGCTGGCATAGCTTTTGTTACATAATAAAATCATGATACTCTTGAATGGCTGGCATTTTCGCTAATCTGAGAGGCACTGTGAATCACACATCTCTGGCTAGTGTTTCCTACTTTGCTTTGGCCTTTGGAAAATGCACAACTTCACTTATGTTCTTACTTCCTCCTATATAGTTCTGGGAGTCAGTCTCTCCTGACTTCATGCATCTCATAACTTTGTGTTGCCATTTCCATTATTTCTTTTGACATTTTCATTGTACTGTAGATTTTTTTAAGGTTCACATCAAATTTTGTGGGGGGATGGTATGGAGTAAATATAAATGTATATAAACATCATACTAATTCCATGGAAATGAAAATGAGGGGAAATGAAGAATGAATCCACACTTGTGTAAGTTAGCAAATATCTACATAGTTTCTTAGGAAATCAAAGAAGGAATGAAGAATTTTGGGTGAAAACAATGGTTTACTTTCAGGACAGGCACATTTGAGGTCCTCTGGAAACAGAGGTGCCCAACCCAGAATTGATTAAGGAACCATGAAGCTCAAAAGTGAGGTGGGAATTGAGCATGTAGCTCAGAGGCAGCATTTGCCTAAGGTTTATAAGCACCTGGGTTTGATCCCCAGCACAGGGAAAAAAAAAAAAAAAAAAAAAATTT